ATCAACTTTCTCTTATCTTTAAAAATATACAACGGAAATAAAGATATAAAAGATATACTATGATATATTCGTTTCAAAACAAAAGTATTAAAATATTGTGTTAAGTATTAAAATATGGACGTATTTCGCTGTTTACATTTTAAAAATACATACATGATACACGGATTATTTATTTTCAATAAAATGTTTCTCGAATAAAACGATCAAATCCTAACGATTATTTATCAAAAATTTTTATCGCATTTTGAACTACTTATACCGATAACTGCTTAATCTTACGATACTAATCGCGTATACCTATCTTCTATTTTCAATTCCCATTCGTTTATTTAAATATCTATAAATACAGAATATCTTAAGTAACAAATTGTAGAACATAATCACCTTTAATAATAGAAGTTATAAATTTATCCTATTCGATATTATTATTATCCTATTATTATTATTATTATTATTATTATTACTATTATTAACACTATCATTCTCATAATTACATGCTCCATTCGTTACGATTACTTATTATTACGATCATAATCATCGTTACTTTTATATAAATCATTATTATAATTATTACTACAAAATCATAGAAAATAAAAGTATGTAATTATTTATTTTGGTTAAAAGAGTAAGAAAATGGTTATTACTTGTTAATACAATCGCCTATAAATTTCTGTAGAAAACAAATTTATGCTGCTTGATATATGATTTCATTTACGCGCATATTAACGATAGGACGAAGTTCCTGTTGTGCATAATCTTCGGGTAATGGTAATTGAGATACCAGTTGAAATATCGATGTAGATCTATTCTCGTTCGATTGTAACAAACTTCTAGCCAAATGTAATGTTCTCTTTGCAATTTCCGCTTGACAAAGCCTGTCGTAAATAATAATTATACATGTATAATAATTATCTTAGAATGATATAAAAATGATATAAAAAAATACATTACGAAGTAAAAGAAAGAAAAATAATAATTCACCTGTGCTTAGCAGTTGGACATGGAAATTGATTGATTTTCGATGGAAGACTTGATAATCGCTGTTTTAGCGATTCTAATTTAGAACTTATTCCGCGTGGATCAGCACCGCGTAATAAAGATTCGACATCCATAGTTATTTCCATATATTCCCAAAGTAATTGTCCTTGATAAGTCCACCCGCTTATAGTGCTACTGTACTCCGAAGGAATCAGCGGGCGTAATAAATCGCGCAAATAATCATAATTTTCTGAATAGGAATAACATATATAAATAGAGTGAGAAATAAAAGATAACGAAGAGTTTGAAAATAAAACGAAGAATAAAAATTAATATATAAGAATTGACACAAATATCTATTTCGAAAACATACCGTTTATAATAATATCCGCTGCTAAATGTTCAATGATAATTTCGTGAGCTCTGTTCCATTGTTCCGCTTGAATAAAATAAAAAGCTGCTTTTCCGTACCTGCAAATAAAAAAAGAAGAAAATTCAAAATTTTATAAGAACGATAAGGATTAATGATAATGGATCAATGATCATCGGTACCGGAATAATTTCTAAAAAATTTTTTATTTTTATATATGCATTAATTCGGAACGCATAAACGCAGAAATAATGAAAATGTGGAATACCGTTATTAATAATATATTATACATAAACTTTTACGAACCTCTTAGCTACGTAACTTTTCACGGCTTTAGCCTGATGAATCCAAATTGAAGGTATACCTAGTTCTTCCCGTAAAAATTTTTCTCTCTCGATAGGATCGACGGAATCAGCGATTTCGTCTATTTCAACGTGACGTTGCAATAAATTCATTACCGCAGTTTTTCTCTTTCCGGCATCTTTCAAATGCAACATCACAAATATAGCCCAATGCCAGAGACCGTGTGCTTCTAATTGCGTTGCGAAATTAACATGTGTTAAAGTAGCAACATGTTCCGAAAGATGTGAATAACCCAGAGCTAAAAGTACTTGCTGCATCAGCCAACTGTAATCGAATTGAACCATTTGAAATTATTATCCAAAAAATTGAAAAATTGAAAAAAAAAAAAAAAATCGATCGATTACCTGAGTCTGTAATCTAATGGATCGGCAGTATGCGTTGCTGGATTTAATAGTTCTCCTAATGTATGATTGCCAGTGCAAAATAATTTTAATAGATGAAAACATAGATCGTATATTGATTTTCCACTATTTATTTCAAGTTCGTAATCATCTCCTTTGTATTCGGGTTTCGGTATAGTTGTATAAGCGCACGAATCACTTGTATCGAAAGACATTTCGTAATGATCTAATATATCTCTTATCGAACCAGTTGGAGATGAAAAATACCTATAATAAATATGCGTAATATACATTCTAATAATTTAATAAAGCTATAAGATACGTTGCATCGCTTTAGAAAACATGATATTTACGACAAATGAACAGCTAATGCTCTCTTCCAGTCGAAACCTTCGCAGACATTGATAATACCATGTTTACTGGGCACGAGTGGTTCACCCGCTATCAATGCGTAAAGTTTTAATCGATCTAACGAGATTTTTTCATCAACGTGGTCACGTCGCCATAATGCAATTTGTTGCTTTATTAATGCCTTTATAGGCATTCCACTGCATAATTGTGCCATTAATAAAGCCAAACAATGATCGCCTACTTCTCGCGCAGTTTTACATGCCTCTTCTAATTCAAAAGCTTCGTTTCCACCGACGGCGGGTAAAAAAATAAAACAAAAAAATAAATAAATAAATAAATAAAAAAGAAAAAAAAAGAAAAATTTGAAAAAGAACATAATTATATTATATGTAACTTTATACTTAACTTAAACGAATTAAAAAATTGTGTGAAACATAAGGGGAGATTTTTTTGTTACAAATGATACGTACCAGATAGTAAAAGCAATATCTTTGTTTCGTTACTAACATTCATATCCTCCCATACAAGAGTTTTTCGTATAACATTTTTTAACCATTCCCCGAAAGCCTCTCGTCGTGCTATTACGACACTATGATCTTTCGGATTTTCTAAAACAATGAAACGAGTAATTTATATTAATTTTCATTTTTTATATGCATGTATGTTGAAAAAGAAAAATAAATGACGATATAAGCCTAAATGTGAAAAAAAAAAAAATACATGTGAATAAAAATTATCTATAAATCATACCTGAAGCAACATTTATATCAGGTAAAGTCCCCCAAAGAGCTACGCATAGTTTCCAAACATTAGCAACGTACGAAGCAAAACAATCTGTGCTAAACTGTTCCGCGAATTCTTCGGCTAAACTACAATGCGCGTGTAAAGCCATACTTGCTTTATTAACATCTGTATCTACGTCAAAAATTGGGCAATCTCCTTCTTGATTCATTACACGATGGGACAATTGAATTTTTAGATGACCTTCTATGCTTTCCTTAAATAATATTCATAAAAAATAAAAACAAAAATGCAAATATTATTATTTTTAATTCTACGCAACTAATGCTAAAAGTGAAATTTACCTTGAATATTTTAACGCGATCATCATCGGTTCTGTTACCACCCAAGATTTGAATACGTTGCACTATCGCAACAGATGATGTATCTTCTGGGGAACGACCACATACATAAGATCCAATTTCTTCGAATGGACTATTTAATGCTACCTCGTCAGCTTGTTTTCTAGTGTTCAATGTAAGTAACGTTAAACCGCGTCCCCAACTAGGCTTGAACATTCTTCCCATTTGTATGCCTAAATAAATACGTAAACAAGTAAATACACATTTATATTACGCGTACATTGAATTCGTAATTTAAAAAATTCGTAACATATAAAAATATTATAATGAAAATATTTTACCCATATCGGCAACAGAACGAGATTCTAGTTTGTGTATAATAGACTTTGATAACGGAACGGCTTCAGAAATCCATTTAAAAATTATAATCACAGGAGAAATCGAAGGATCCGGCAAAACTTTTTCATATATCGATGATTTTTTAGCAATAATATCCATCGAGCGTTTCATCTTAGAATCTATAATATAAATCGATTCTTTTTTAATTTTCGAAATGCATAAAATATTCATTTTATATTATTATTATTAATCTGAAATTACCTAACTTTGAAAGTGCTGGTTCTTCGTAACTAATCGTTGGTGTATGATGAATCGTCAAATTTGATCGTAACATCAAATTGTAATTTGATTCGTATTTTTGATCCTCATCGATTTTTTGAACAGTATTGATGAAACTTCGCAAAGAACTTTTATGACCAGAAGAAAGAAATAATCTACGATTTGATTCTGAAATAATATTTCAATTTCGAATAAAGATTATTGTAAGATTCGTTGTAAAAATCAGAAAATGAATAATATAATTTTTATATATATCATAAAGTTTTACCTTGATCATAAATCTCTTCGTCACTACCGTCGAAGAAGCTAGCTTTCATTAATTGCAATTTATGACTGTCGGTACCCAAAATGCGAGCACTATCACCAGTTGGACTTATCGGTAATCGTTTTT